GTTGCCCACCACTGTGCTAGTAGATAATATACACCAAAAATCCAGAATAGGCCTCCTTTTGGTACATATGTGAACAGGGTGGATTTGATTTAAATCAAACTGATTTAAATCACGATTTAAATCACTAGTCAGTAAGGCTTGATTTAATTCCTAGTTTTCTACATAAAGACTAATTCTTGCTGGTATAACTTTAATATGCAAGTAGATGAAGATTTTTAGAATAACAACTTTTCATATTAGTTTTTTTATCCCCAGTTTAATAGGTTAATCATTCATATTTGGACAACTTTTCTGTTGTACTTAGGAAGGAGAAAAATAATCATTACCTTAATAATAACAATTTTTAAATAGATTTATTCATCTGAAACAATAACATTCCAGCATATGTGATTTGCTTAAACATCCATGTTTGGTAACTAATTTGGCTAAACAAAATATATATATTTTAAGAAACTTAGACTGTCAGCTCCTTCCTCCTCACACTTAGCTTCACTTTCTTCTTGTGCAGATCTATTCCACTCCAAACAATCAGAAAAAACTATTGTTTCTATTCTATTCACTGAACTTCTTGAAACTTAGCACTGAAGGGGTTGATTCTGTATTCATAGTTTTGTAGAAGTTAGGATGAAGGTCTTTTTCTTAACTCTGTTCATGTTATAACATTTTTGCTGTGAAGAAGAGGCATGTGATCTCCGCTGAGTCAAATTCAGTTTTGAGAACTGCAAAAGTAAACCAATCATCTGTGATAATATCTTGTAGGCAGAGAAACTGCCCAATAATCTTACAAAAACCTCTGGAAGAGCATGACATTGTGAATGGATTCATGGAATTTATTTACCAAAAAAATTTAAACCTATACAGCCTTATTCTACATAATTAAAAAACTAATCTTTATTTCATGATGGAATAACCTTTTGGATGGTAATATATTTTCCGCAAAAAGCATTTTATTTAAAAAAAATCCGATTTAAATAAAAAAAATCCGATTTTTTTTTTTTTTTTTTTTTTTTTTTTTTTTTTAAAAATCATTAATTTTTATCCACCCTGTATGTGAAGGACCGTTCGGCTTAAATATCGGTGTGCAGTGCAAATAAAGCAAAATCTCTGTCTGGGAAACCCTCTACTCCTGAGGCTAAAATGAGTTTCTTTCAAGCCTCCAGGGCCTGGAGCTCAGTTCCATCATAAGTCTGTGAACAATTCCTCCTCACAATGAAGGTGCACCCCCCTTTATCAAAATGAGCAGATGTCTGTTGGCCATCTAGTTCCAGGATATGTCAGATGTATAGGTCCAAAATGTATCCATAGCTACAAACTGAAATGTTGGTCTCTGTCTCCACCCCACTTCATTTTTTTCAAACTTCACAACATTCCTGCAAAGATTGGTACTCCACACTTCTCTCACAAGGCATCATAGCCATTTTCTTGCAAAAGGAGCGGTTTAAAGGTTTCTATTAAAACCTACTCACTGTCCTGAAAGCAAAAGGGGACATCCACACCATACTGGATCCTAAGGTTCTCAACACATTCCTCCAGGTGCAAAAATTCCATGTGGAATCCCGCCAGTCTGTCACTGCTTTCCTCCATCTGGGAGACCTTTCCTCTCTGGACATCAAAGATGCCTGTTTGTCTTCCCGACGCATCAAGCCACCTTCGTTTTGCTGTGGAAACACATTACCAGTTTGTTACCCTTCCCTTTGCCCTGTCCTTTGCACCTAGGGTCTTTGCCAATGTACCTCACATTGCATCCATGACTGGTATGCACGTGCCAGGTGTGGAAAACTGGTGGATGGACTTCCTCTGTCATTAGAATATGGTCTCTGGAAAATGGCCTTTTCCCCCTGAGGTGTTTTAAAATCACAGAGGCAAGTGGGGGACTCCAGATGTGAACCTCCTGGCTTCCAGGTTCAACAACAAATTCACCAGATTTGTCTCCCTGCCCAGGGATCTTTCAACCATCACAGTGAATGCTTTGGTGACTGTGGAATCAATACAGTCTGATCTATGCTTTTCCTCCTTAAAAGCTCCTTCCTTTCCTACTCGTAAGGGTTGAGATGGAAGGCTTTTCTTTGATTCTCATCACATTGAACTGGCTCAAGAAGGTGTGTTGCCTGCTCAAACTCCTGGCAGACTTTTTGTGGGCCCTAACAGATTATCTCGATTTTCTGTCCCAATGGCCCTTTCCCCCCAACTGCTTCTCAGCTTCTGGCTTTGCCGACTCGGCTTTTTGAAGCCCAGGTGGTCAGGGACGGGGACATATACTCTTGAAAGCTAGCAAACTGACTGCATTGCACCAGGAAAGCTTATTTCCTTTTTTTACAAGACAAGGAAATTCATTATCGGGAAGTTCTATGATATTTTTCTTTTCTTTAGTTTTGTCTGAATGAACATTTGGCGTTGAGTACCTTCAAGGGTCAAATCTTGACCTCAGTGATTCTTTTTCAGAGAGCACTTGCCTCTCATTCCTTAGAGAAGACCTTCCTACAAGGCAGCGTTCATATCGTTCCTCCTTTGCATTCTCCCATGACTCCACTGTATCTCAACTTGGTTCTGCCGACTATTCAAAGACTGCCCTCCTCTTGCCTTTATGTGGCACAATGGAGTGGATGTACTAATCTAAATGCCTAAGTGAAATATGGCAACGTTGACATGTGTTAATAAACCATACATATCATCACAACTACTTTGTATATCCAGGTGAAATATATCTTGTTTTTTTTCAGGACAAAGTGGGTTTTTGGTGGTAAATGGTAATGGATATCTCCTGATTTTTTTTTTATTATCAAAGGCCCAAAATAGTAGAAAATAATCATTTTTTTTTTAATTTAGCTATGTGTTTCTTGTTACCATAACCTACCATCAAAGAGCAACCCAAAATAAATTTTCCAGCTCTTGAAGATCGCAGTGATACCATATATGTGTATGTTATTTGCTGTTTGTACCCACAGTATATCCCAGAAACAATAGTGCGATTTTTTTTTTTTTTTTTTTTTTTTTTTTTTTTTTACCTAAAACACACTGACACTGACACCAAATTTTTTTTTGTTAATTCCTGACCTTTGACCCTGACCTTTTGACCTTTAACCTTGACCCACATACCCTGTCACTGAACTAGATCAAACCTTGAGCTATGTATTTTTTATTTATTTTTTTCTTTTATTTTTTAATATTTATTTATCTTTTTTTTTTTTTTTTTTTTTTGTACAAACATTTTTTTCCCCCTCTATGCCAGGAGTTAGAGAGATACAATGTAACTCTGTCCTCCATTCATAGAGAGAGAACAAAACAAGGGGGCTGGGCTGTACAGTGACTGATCACTGTGATAGCCAATCAGAGGCTATAACAGCGATCATGTGACCCGGAATCGGGAGTCCCGGATCCCAGTCATTAGAACGGGACCCGGGGCTCTCAGTGACACTGCGGCCTTTGTGCTGGGAGCGCACTGTGCCCGTGCTCCCAGCATAAAGACTGGTACGCAAATATCCAACTCTTCGGGAAAAAAGCCCAGTTCTGTGAGGCCACAATTTTTACAGTTTTTTGTCAATTTTGTCAGTTTATATTAATAGTAAAATGATAATAAAAATGATGCAGTTATAAATATTAATCAGAGGTCTCCTCAAGTTAAGTGATGCATACTTTAGTTGCTAGATGTGGTCTGGGCATCCAGGTTTCAACAAAATATAAAAGCATTAAAAAAAACACTGTTGCTGGCATTCCACTGTCATCCCATTAAATGATTGTGGGGACATTTGTGGGACAGAACCCATTCCAAGTTATTCTTTGGTGAGATATAAAGAAAGCTCAGTTTGATGAGATGTATATTTTGGACAAAGCATTGAACACATACTGTACATCAAAGCATCACCATTATGAAGGCTGATTTTTTTTTCCCTTCTCTCCTATCCTTGCACTGGGTTACAGTGATCAATGTGCTGCATGCAGGGTCTATGCTTTCCTTTGTGACATAAACAAAAGTAGAAAACTTAGAACCTGAGGGGTATAGCTGCCAAAATAATTCCATGTAGAGATGAAGCATTGACATTGGCTAATAGCAGAGCACTAGAGGCTTCTCCATTCATGTTTACATGTCATGAAACCGCCAAAGAGCTGACTCTCCTTTTTGTCGTTTGTCAGCAGGAAGGCACAGAGAAACATGAGCTCTGAGGAATTAAGCGTTAAACGCCGTGGCAGGGAAAGATCCCCTCCATTATCTGTTTATGAAAGGAATACGCAGCTCTTTGTTCTTTAACGAGGGCTTATTGTTGTTTCATTTGTAAAAAATGTGTTGTACTATCAATGAGATACAAAAAATGTTTTATTGTACTTTTTTTTTTTTTTTTTTTTAAGTAGCCAGTCTTTGGTTCTGTCATTGTCATCCAATATGGCCGTTTTACTCTTGTGGTCTAAGATCTGTGGGAGAGGGCAGAGACACAAAATGCAATGGGGAAATCAGGCCATCTAAGCCTTTGGGAGACCTACCATGCTGATGGCCAGCACAACCCACCATTGTCTACCGTAAATTGACATTCCAGTTTTAGATGGCTTAAAGTGGTAGGAGACACTGCTTGCTCATTTGTACCTACAGGTAAGCTTACACTAAAGCGTAACAGTACAAAGAATGGCCACTGCCCCAGTCTATAATTGGCCTTCACAGCAAGGAGCACATGGAAGGGCGACGCATGTCAAACAATCAAAGAGAAACATTCCCAGCTCAACTTACCAACCACCCTGCACAGAAACCCAATTAACCTGTCTAACAGTATGCGTTAAAAACAGGGGTTTAGTTTGCACACATTTGCAAATACATACGTAAGCTGCAGAGCCTCTTCACGGCACCCCGATATTCTGCAGTTCCTAACGCTACAAATTTTGAGAGCCCCCATATTAGAGGCACATGTATCATAATGGATAGACTGAGAGCAGGTGAACCTGAGGGAGGATATTCATAGAATGTAATTATGAATTACCGTATTTTTTTGTGCCATAAGACGCACCTAGATTTTAGAGGAGGTAAACAAGAAAAAAAATATTCTGAACCAATGGACTGCAGACACAGTACAGGAGATGACCAGAGACTGCGGACATGCAGGAGATGACCATAGTACAGGAGATGACCAGAGACTGCGGACATAGTACAGGAGATGACCAGAGACTGCGGACACAGTACAGGAGATGACCAGAGAGACTACATGACAGAGATGCGGACATAGTACAGGAGATGACCAGAGACGGCGGACACAGTACAGGAGATGACCAGAGACTACGGACACAGTACAGGAGATGACCAGAGACTGCGGACACAGTACAGGAGATGACCAGAGACTGCGGACACAGTACAGGAGATGAACAGGTAAGACCCCGAGGAGCAGGTTCTTCTGCACAGTAGAGCCAAACGGCCGGCCCGGTATTCTGTAACGGCAGCGGCGATGGGGGGAATACCGGGCCAGCTGCTCCATATTCACTCCATAAGATGCACAGACATTTCCCCCCATTTTTTGGCGGGAAAAAAAAGTGTGTGTCTTATGGAGCTAAAAATACGGTATATGGATAAAATTTGATTCATTTGATCCATGGTCACCACCTCTGACCCATAATTTTCTTTTTATATTGGGTTATTATTGTGTTTAGGTGTCATTTTAATCAATAAAAGTATGCTATTGCTGTCAGCAATCTCTGTCAATATTTAATCACAAATGAGATTCCTTTTTTCAGATACTTTGGGTTTGAGATGTTGAGAAAAAGCCATTTTTTATGTGTAAAGTATTTTTGAGCTTGGATTTTGTGGTGAGCTCTCCTCCCCTCATTTACAGTGTGTGTTTATATATATATGTGTATATATATATATATATGTGTATGTATGTATGTATGTGTATATATATATATATATATATATATATATATATTCTAAGATATAATCCTGGTAGGATCATTTTTCCTTTAATTTTTTTTATATTATGATCCTTAGGGAGCCCACCCCTCCTAAAGGTAAAGGAAAGGTAAATGTGTGCTAACTAAGCCCCTATTTTTAATTCATATTGTTATGCAGGCCATAGACGGTTCGTTTATCAGCCAAATTTTCAGCCAAAAAAACGAAACATCGGTTGTTCTGTTGCCACCAATGATTCCAAAAATCGGCCATTTTTGATAAATTTTCCAGCATGACCGATAAAAGAAATGAGGAGGAACTGTGAAAATCGGCCGATGACATTGCTCCACTAACGGTGCAAATATCAGCTGATTATTCTTTCGGACAAAAATTTGGCCGATAAACGAACCGTCTGTGGCCTGCATTAGACAGGCTTATTTGGATAGTTTGCAAGCTGGTTGGTAAGTTGAGCTGGGAATATTTCTCTTTTATTGTCTGTTATACTAAAGCTTACCTGTAGGTACTAGGAATGTCTTCTAAACATGCACCGTTCCTATTTCTGCAGCCGGTGATGTTACCGGCACATGTGCACTGTGCTCTGAATGGATGGCATACTGAATATGCCGTCCCTTTGGAAAGCTGTGCCGTGACGTGGTTTGCATGCCCATGAGTGACCCCATCTCGAACCCAGGAGGACTGGATGAAGATGGAAGCCCTGTGAGAGGTGACCACGCACTGCTGGAGGGACTTTTTTAAGGTAAGTTTATGATAATGTGCAAGTATGCGATGTATATTAGCACATTATGCCCTTGACTTACAGGGAAATTTCCCCTCTCTGGACTTTACTACCGCGTTACAGCGCTCCTCCTCCCCTTCCTATAATAAAACTGCCAACAGTAATGCAATCCTTGTTTTTGAAAGCAATAAATCTGGTAGTAGTTACTTGACCCTTTAATTTAGATTTTCTACAGTTTCTGTGGGTTTTTCTCCTCTGCAGAAAAATGACATTGGCGGCTGGCTTCTTCTTCCTTATTCTATATTCAATAGAGAAGATGGGAATTTCAGGCTGCATGAACATGAATACCAAACATATTAAAAAGTTATATAATTTTTATTTCGTATTTTTTTTAAAAACAAAAAAAGGAAAAAAATACAGAAACATAAAAACAATTTCACTACTAAGAGTGGAACTGAGATTCAAACTTAATTATATTATTATTATACAGTATTTATATAGCGCCAAAGGGTATGCTCAGCGCTGTACAATAGCAAGGGGGACAGAACATGAGACAAGACAGTAACAATACACTACACGAGGGGTTCGAGGGCCCTGCTCTTTCAAGCTTACAATCTAGGAGGGAGGGGAAGGTGGTACAGGAGGAGATGGCTGTGGGGGATGGAGTGGTGGGAGGAGTGGAGGAGGTTAGTTGTTAGGTGAGGTTAGTTGTTAGTTGTTCTAAGTTGTTAGTTGTTATAATTGTAGTTACTCCGTACATGTTTCGCCCTCACGGGCTTCTTCAGGGGAGATTTTTTAAGAGATTGCCGAGGCAGTCTAAACATATATCAAAAAGAATTATACAATTGCCAAACAACTTTAATATATCCAATACAAAGTATTTAATTAAATATATATATGGGGCTCAATGGCTTACCCTGGATGTAAAAGCTCACAGAGCTAAGAGGAAATAACCTATCAAAGATCTTAATTGGCCTACACGTCCAAAACAGTTGTAGAGGATATAATGGGCATTAAATATCCATCTAGGCATAATACAGAAGGATAGACATAAATAAAAACCAAAAAAATTAATTGAATTCCTTCTAAATTCTATGCCAGCCCACCGATAGCGTCTGTTCTTGATCTTCCGCATTTGCCATAAGGGACCTGCTTGTTACTGAACAATAATAAACTTTGCCAGATCTTCCATGGCACATGCTTTGAGCTACAAAACTCTCAGGTGTGAATGAGGACTTAGGGTGTCATCAAGGGGGAACAACACAAGAATTGCCTGTGTCAGGGCTCCGGGTATGACCAGAGGTGTGTGGACCGACACAGGGAAACACAGACTTCAGGTATAGTGTGTAAAACAATATAATTTATTAAGGGCAACACAAACATAAACGCAGTGCAACAAACCAAACCCAAAACTAGCACAAATACGTACAACAAGGTGCAACAAACCCAAACCTTAACTGATATATATATAAATATGGAGAACAACGTAGTCAGGTGGGCTGGGTCGGTAGCTAATGGGCAGACAAGGTGCAAGGAGTAGGCAGAAGATTGGTCAGGAGTAGTCGAGGTCGGTGCAGGCAGAATTCAAGCAGAGTCAGGATCAGGCAGGAAGCAGACAGGATGCAGGTACAGGGGCTCGTGGGAACAATACACCAAGGCCCTGACTGTAGGCCTGGCCATTCCTTAAATACACCTCCTGCAATCAGCCTCAGGTGATGGCTTGATTGCAGGAGTGAGCTTCTGGCTGCTGAGAGCACCCGCTGGCCAGCCCTGGTACTGCAGCCCACAAGGCAGGTGAGTCCCACCACCATTGGCGAGTCCATTCCTGACAGCCTGTAAGAGCTGAATATATTGAATTTACCTCTGACTTCTAGCAACTTAGCTAATATTGAAGTATCCTTGCTGTCTATCATACTCTAATGATTCCTCTTGTATGAGCATTAACTTTTTTTGGTCATCCTGGAAATGTATACAATTATGGAAACACCAGGTAAAAGAACAAAATCATTACCTAATATTGTGTTGGACTGCCTGTGGCATCCAAGATGGCCTGAATTCTTCTGGGAATTGACAAATATAAGTCTTGGATGGTGGATAATGGAATATGATACCACTCTTCATACAAAAATCGTTCCAGTTCTTGCAGCTATGCCAGAGGCGGAAAATGAACCCAAAGCTTGTGCTCCAAAATTGGCCATAGAGGCTCCATGATATTGAGGTCCGGCGACTGCGGCGCCCATGGAAGGTGCGAGACTTCATCTGCATGCTTGTCAAACCAGGAGTTGACAATACCAGCTGTGTGAATCGGAGTATTATCGTCTTTATGGCTGTCCAAAACCATGATTGTGCTGTCACTATGCTTTACCGCTTGCACAAGACAGTCCTGGTGGTAAGCTTGGGATGGTGTTTCCCACATGTAAGCACGTTCGGTTGTTGGGATTAGAGTGAAACTCCATATATTAGACCATATTTCAGTCTTCCATTGATTGATAGTCCATGATTTATGGGTGTTGCACCACTCTCTCCTCTTCTGCGCATTAATGACGGTCATCAGTGGTTTGGCAACTGCAGCTCGCCTGTGAATGCTTTGCTTATGGAGTTCCTTCCGCACATTTTTTGAGGACACGGGCTTTGGAAGACTGAGATTGAGCTCTGCAGTCACTTTTGCAGCAGTTGTTTTCTTATTCTGGGTCAGAATCCTGCACAATGTAATTTTTCCTCTTTCGGTCAGTTGACCATGTCGACCGCGCTTAGCTCATCAGATGACGGTTTCCCGGTATCTGTATATGCCGTGATAACTTTTGATGCTGGACCTCACAACACGCCAGATAAATTGGCAACTTCAGTCACAGAGGCACCAGCTAAGCGGCACCAACAATTTGCCCTCTCTAAAGCTCAGTAAGCTCTGACATGATTCCGTATTAATATCAGCACACACAGCGAATGACGAAAGTGAGGCTTCCCACCTGTTAGCTAGGTGTCTCATCACACAGCAGAAGCAAAAGAATGTTACATCACTAACATTTTCAATGCGAAACATGTCACTTTCACACCTGCAAATCATGTAGTGTTTCCATATTTTTGTCCGACCCCTGTATCTGTCAATTGTTTGCATTTTGCGATCTTCTATATGGATAGCATTGCACAGGGGGGAGGGGGGGGTGGGTTTGGAGAATTTATATTTATTTTATTTAAGTTAACAGAGAATATAGGCTCTCTGAAGCCCTCTGCTTTCCGTTTTGATTTTTTTTCTCCATGTTTTCTTTGTTTTTTCTTGTATTATTAAATGTAAATAAAAGCTCTAAATTCAATAAAAAAGAATTTTAAAAAATTGCTTGCAAAAGTTTAACCTGAAACTGAACCAGAAATAGATAGGTGTTGGTGAGAGAGGGATAGTGAAGGAAACGGAGGGGGAGTAAGTGCCTCGGAGCCAAGACGAGTGACATTAGACCCCAGGGGCCAACTATATCAATGTCACAGGACCATCAGACAATGGCCGGTCAACGTTCTTTGGTAGGAAATGTGAAACCCACATATCGCAGATTTTGTTGAATTCAGCCGTCGTTTCAGAGGGTTTCCCTGTCAATTTTCTACATTCTGATTTTTATGTACGTTTATAGTGTACAGAGCATCCTGTCACTACGTCTTTTGCTTAGTCTCTTCCGGTTCATTTTTGTAATTATGGAACAGATTGCACAGTAACAAGGGAAAATAATGTTATTTTTTCCATCTCTGACAGAACATATGTTCCTGTGAGTTACGTATGCCGATCATTTCCTTAACACGCGATTCGTATTTAATGGAGGTTTTTCTGACATGTTCACCTGGCCTGAACAAAAGGACTACAGACAAAGGCTTGTTTGTAGTTAAAGTGTTACTAGAC